AGTTTGCCAAAAAAATGTACATTTTATAGGCAAAATTGTGAGATTTTTCGGTTTAAATTACCAGGCGAACAGGAATTCCAGAAGGTGACCAACGATCGTTTGGTTTTCGGTAGCAACCTGCTGCTGATTGTGATCGCCTAGTAATTAAATTCGAAAAATCGAAAATTTACCATAAATATTTACATTTTGTGGGCATGTACGTATGTATGTATGTATGTATGTATGTATGTATGTATGTATGTATGTATGTATGTATGTATGTATGTATGTATGTATGTATGTATGTATGTATGTATGTATGTATGTATGTATGTATGTATGCATGTATGTATGTATGTATGTATGTATGTACATAATCTTTCAATTTTGCATCTAAAATGTTGATTTTTTTGGCAAATTGTGAGATTTTTCGGTTTAAATTACCAGGCGAACAGAAATTCCAGAAGGTGACCAACGATCGTTTGGTTTTCGGTAGCAACCTGCTGCTGATTATGATCGCCTGGTAATTCAATCCGAAAACTCTACAATTTGCGAGACAATTTGGAGACAAAATTGTGAGATTTTTCGGTTTAAATTACCAGGCGAACAGGAATTCCAGAAGGTGACCAACGATCGTTTGGTTTTCGGTAGCAACCTGCTGCTGATTATGATCGCCTAGTAATTAAATTCGAAAAATCTAAAATTTACCATAAATATTTACATTTTGTGGGCATGTATGTATGTATGTATGTATGTATGTATGTATGCATGTCTGTATGTATGTATGTATGTATGTATGTATGTATGTATGTATGTATGTATGTATGTATGTATGTATGTATGTATGTATGTATGTATGTATGTATGTATGTATGTATGTATGTATGTATGTATGTATGTATGTATGTATGTACATAATCTTTCAATTTTGCCTCTAAAATGTTAATTTTTTTGGCAAATTGAAAGATTTTACGGTTTGAATTACCAGGCGAACAGGAATTCCAGAAAGTGACCAACGATCGTTTGGTTTTCGGTAGCAACCTGCTGCTGATTATGATCGCCTGGTAATTCAATCCGAAAACTCTACAATTTGCGAGAAAATTTGGAGACAAAATTGTGAGATTTTTCGGTTTAAATTACCAGGCGAACAGGAATTCCAGAAGGTGACCAAAGATCGTTTGGTTTTCGGTAGCAACTTGCTGCTGATTATGACCAAACATACATATGTACATACATACATACATGCATACATACATACGTAAATACATACATACATACATACATACATACATACATACATACATACATACATACATACATACATACATACATACATACATACATACATACATACATACATACATACATACATACATACATACATACATACATACATACATACATACATACATACATACATACATACATACATACATACATACATACATACATACATACATACGTACGTACGTACATACATACATACATACATACATACATACATACATACGTACATTCCCACAAAATGTAAATATTTATGGCAAATTGTAGATTTTTCGGATTGAATTACCAGGCGATCATAATCAGCAGCAGGTTGCTACCGAAAACCAAACGATCGTTGGTCACCTTCTGGAATTCCTGTTCGCCTGGTAATTCAAACCGTAAAATCTTTCAATTTGCCAAAAAAATTAACATTTTAGAGGCAAAATTGAAAGATTATGTACTTACATACATACATACATACATACATACCTACCTACATACATACATACATACATACATACATACATACATACATACATACATACATGCCCACAAAATGTAAATATTTATGGCAAATTGTAGATTTTTCGGATTGAATTACCAGGCGATCATAATCAGCAGCAGGTTGATACCGAAAACCAAACGATCGTTGGTCACCTTCTGGAATTCCTGTTCGCCTGGTAATTTAAACCAAAAAATCTCACAATTTTGCCAAAAAAATTAACATTTTAGAGGCAAAATTGAAAGATTACACAACATACATATGTACATACATACATACATATGTACATACATATATACATATGTACATACATACATACATATATACATACATACATACATATGTACATGAAACAAACGATCGTTGGTCACCTTCTGGAATTCCTGTTCGCCTGGTAATTCAAACCGAAAAATCTTTAAATTTTGCCCACAAAGTGTAAATATTTTTTTTGCAAATTGTAGATTTTTCGTGTCCATAGCCCTATAATTCCCAACTGGTTCTCGTGAGGGCTGTAAGGCATGTCTTCTAATTTAGAGTCTCAAAATATTCCAAGTAATCTTTCTTACCGGTCGAGCAGTGAATGTTGTGTATGTGAAGTGTATGTGCTCTAAAGTGTGATTACTTGCAAGATCACATTGGCATCCCTCTTGAACAAATAACCAGCAAATGTTATTTAAACAAGTTTTTGAAATGTTATATTTATTTTAAAATATTTATTTATAAAAAATATTTAAAATACAATATAAAATTCTTGTTAAGAAATTGATTACCCTACACTGAAAGAGATATATATTTTTATGTTTATTCGTATACACATGTTTTCAAACGCATCCTTAAAAATTGTCTTAAATAAAGCCTGAAGAATGTTTAACTTACTTTCGGAACACATAGTTATTGCCGCTTTTAATATGGGCTTAGGCAACATATTTTCTTGTAGCCCTATAATTCCCAACTAGTTCGTGTGAGCGTGTGGAGTACGGACAACTGAATACTGCGTATCTTTGGCTCTGTAGACTCGCTCAGAAACTGTTGCGCTACTATGTGCTATTATTTATTTCTTCAGTGCGTTGCGTGCTGACTGAAAGACAAAAGGCAGGCCCAGTGGATGAATGAAAGCCAGCCAGAAAGCGAGAAACAAGGAAGGAAGGTCCAATAGCTCAAGAGCCAGTCGTAAAAGTATAAACAACAAAAGTGATTAACATAAAGCATAAACATGCAGTTCGCTGGGGCCGGGTGCCCTAGGCACTCTTGATGGTGATGATGATGCCCCATGGTGGAGATGCTGATGGTGATGGTGATGTTGATGTTGACCAAGCTGCCGCAGTGGAAAGCCCGAACTAGCAAGTCAAAATTCAGACAAAACACGGCCGCAATATAGACAATATGGCGATAATCCGCAGTGAATCCAATATGATTCGAATGAATATGGGAACCGTTGCAGTTGCAATAAAGGCCTCTTAACGGTTCTTGCTCATATCTAAGTTTGAGTCGATGCGCCGCTGCCAAGAACAAAAGAACCAGCGGAGGGCCCATAGGTGGTGGAGAAATGCTAACGAGCCCGCCGCGCAGAAAGGCCGAAGAAGAAAGACAGAGAGGCTGAAAGACTGAGCAGCGTTTGCATTATGCGGTTTAATAGCTTTACATAACACCTGAGTGGAGACGAAGTCGAAGCAAAAGCACCAGCTGCGACTGACCGACAGCCCACAACAACCTACGCAAGCCCATGCACTGGCAGAAAAGAAGTTGCCCAGCAGACTTGAACAATATTTAATCAATTCAAACTTGTAAAGCGGAATGTTAAGTATCTTGAAATCGCCGTCATTTTAGAGGTCTATGAAAAAGTGCTTAAAGTAATAGGTAACTGTTTAGAGAAGTCGCTCTAGATTGTGGTGAAACATATTTTATGAAGTGTTGTCGTAAAACGAGAAGCTAGAACATAGCTTAATTAGTACATTAAAGACCGACTACAGTGGATCTTGCAGTGTAGCGCAGGCCTCTTGAAGAGCCAAACCGATCGAGTCAGCGGCTTGGAAAATTGGCGCGTGCGAATGCTCCTGGCTTCTGGAATCGCTGGTGGTTAGCCACAACTCTTCGCTGGCAGAATCAATGCTAATCAGCGAGGGCTGGTCGAGAAGTCGGCGAGTGAAAGCAGGAAGACCGAGGTGGTGGGTAAGTCGATATGCTAATCGTTCAACTAGCTTGCCATATCAGATTACACATCAGTCATTGGATTCGAAGTGAGGCAAGCAGCAAATTGGGTATGCATCGCTGGGTTAAAGGGATTTCAAAACATAACAGATTGAACTGAACATTTGCATTTAACATTCCTTCTTTTCTTTTTAAGCCGCTGCCTTACAATATGCTCGTACACGTTGTGTAACTTTCTGTTTTTCGGCCCAAGCCAATGGCAATTAATGATCAATTATAGACATCATAATCTGCAGTTTGGTGGCAGAGATAAACGATTTCATGTTTTTCGACTGCAAATCTATTTCAACTAGTTTTTCGGATTTGCTGGCTCCCACTTTCATTTCCAGTTTACGCAATGGCTACTCAAGTGACAAAAGCATTTCACAAATATCATATCAAAATTCACAAATGCGACTGATCGCGCAAGCAAAAGCGACAAAAATGTATTGAATGGAGTTTATGTCCATCAATCTTCGTTTGATAAAATCGAGATTACACCGAATGCTTAGTCAAGTCCACCTGCTCTACTTAAATTCATTAAGTTTAAAATGTGCGAAAATGCCAAAAATATAGTCCACACGCAACTTACAAAAAAATCAACGCTTTGATTTATTTTGTCTTTAATTCATGATATTGCTTAAACTACAAAAGATATTATAATTTATTCATTCAATATTAATATCCATATGGACAAAAGATACATTTCAAACTGCCCGCTCGAAAATTCGTGTCTAGTGCTGCTTTTCCATTGCGTTGGCTGTTTCTGGAACTACACAGCGCCACCTAGCAGAAAAAAGTTACTTCCAGAAACCGCCGCAGTTTCCATAGTTGCTCTCTGGCGCCACTCTCAAGTACACTGAGAAATCTAATAAAAATCATTTATAAAAATAAACAAATAGATAAAAACTATTTAAAAGGAGAAAAATAAATTAATCGTTTGTATTCGACAAGCAATTATGACATATAAGCGTATTAAATTACGAAACATATGCTATAGGAACTGTGGATGAGTAGATAGGGAGTTCCATTTCAGTATATAAAGCGAACTGCTCCCAGAATTTCGTTCTTAGATTTCACCATGATTTATGTGCTCGAAGCTGGTCTGCAGGATAACCACTATGAAGTTCATGGCATACGAGACCAAGAAGAGCCAAAACGAGTTGTCCAAGTTGCAGACGCCCAAAATACGAAACTTGGCATTGCCAGTGGGCGTGAGCACAGGAAATGGAGTCGAAGCCATGGCCTGAGAAAATATCATCGAAAATTAGGCCCATTACATTTTATTGGATACACCCACCTGCTCCTGGCTCAATCCTTCGGGCACATATTCCAGTTGCAAGCATGTTGTTCGCAATTCAGCTGACCTCACCTGGCAAAGATGAGCAGCCAAAATGACTGCATACAGTTGGATTGCCAGGACAAGGCAATTATTGGATATGGTCAGGGGAACTCCGTGCAGCGACACATAGTAGGACATAAATGCGTAGATATTGACCATAATGTTGACGAAGCTGCCAAGGACCAGCAGAAATATGCCCAGCTGAAAGACCCTGACGAATCTTCGGACCAGTCTCAGCCATCTGTCTTCCCTCCGCAAAAGTCCGGCCAGGTTGGTTTCCTCGCGCTCCAAGTGGGTGTAGCACTCTAGCATTAGAAGTGTTCCGCCGAAGATTCCGTTGCCATAGACACTGGCCACGTGTTGAAAGTAGAGCTGGACTCCATAGGCCAGGAGCTGAGACCAGGGCAGACGAGCACCTGCTCCTGTGAGGAATGGCACACTGCACAGCAGGTCGTAGAGGGAGAGGAGCAGTTTTAGCCAGAGGAACAAAGTGGACCACCAGCCCAGTCTTCTCCGGCGATGCAATCTGGCCAAGTCATTTACCAAATTGGCCAACTGCCGGCGCTTCAAAAGGTGGTTTGCCAGCAGGGCTAGCGAAATGCAGACATCACCCGTCATGGTGGCCAAAGCTATTGTCTTAAAGACCCTCGAGTGCCGCACATTAGTGGCCTCATACATGGCGGCGCTCTTCCACAGCACAAAGGGGGCCATTGATGCGAGCAGGAGCCATCTGAGGACCGCCATCAAGGTCACCCATCGCTGGCACCTGGCGCCCATTGGCCCCCCAGTGCGGAACGGGGCCAAGGCCAAAAACTGCCACAATCTAAGCAGCAAACAGAGACCGCAGACATGCGGCAATCGCGACATTTTCCGGGCAACTGACCTCCCGGCCGACTGAACGCGGCTTCAAGCTATTTACTTGTCAACCAGCTCGTTATCGCTGGCCCAAGGGAACTAAGCCAATTGTAGATAAGTGCCATCGATATGTATTTCTATTAACGAATTGCAAACATTACGATTAAATGAAAGAGTGTCCCTCGTTCTTGACCCACCGACTGACTCACAGTCCCGATTGGATTGACGCTGATTCCGTGACCGGATATCAGGTCTTGGGCTTAACACGCAGCTGGAACGTTTTGGTCAGCGTCGACATGAAGTTGGGCATTTCCTTCATCTGGTTGAGGGCCTCGTTCTTCGTATTCGACTGGTACTCGTAGGCCACCTTCCGGTTCACGGCGGTCAGCAGGCGGAGCAGCTCGGCGCCCTCCGACGTGGCAGCTTCGTTGGCGGCGGCCTGGTCGAGGACGCGGCACAGGCTCTGGATGAACCAGGAGCCGTCGTCAACGTTCCGGAATGAGAAAAATTCTGAAAGCAGCAGGCGAGTACTTGACATTTATAATGCACTTAGTAGATATAAGTAAAGGATATAAACACTCACTGTCGAAGGTGGAATAGAAGACGAGCATGTCCGCCGTGCTGGGAATGGCATAGGTGATGGGCTGAACGGCGGCAGCGGGTTCCGGGACCAGTTCCCTGGTCATCACTGCGAAGCTGGAGAACTCGACGGCCTTCTCCAGGTTGGCTCCGCGACAGGCTTGGATGAAGAAGAGCTTGGGTTTGTTCTTGAGCGTCTTGCAGTTGTCGCCGAGGAAGGGGTTCCACAAGCGCTCCACAGGATATGACATGTCCTTCGCGTAGACCTTTCCCTCAGTGCCGTGCGACATCACCGCCAGCACAAAGCAGTCGTTTTCACTGTGATCCTCGCGAGCAACTGAAATTAGTGGAGTATCTTTAGTAGAGCATTAAAAAGCGACACCATGAACTGACTTATAAACTCATTTCTCACTATCTTCAAAGAAAACTATGTGGTGCAATAATGCACGATACATCTTTCTGAAACGTTTGTTATTCGCTCAAACAAAAGAGTAGTTTTTGCTGCCTTTAGATTGGTCAAAATCCGATTACTGATTAATTATTGCACTCGTAAAAATAGTGACTTTGTTTTGATAATGATAAGATATATGTTATATATGTCATATGCTTGCAATATGTCACCAGCTTCGAGGAACCTTGAACCTTGTCAGTAGAGCTAGATTTTAATAACTATCACAGCGATTGTTTCAGTTGTGAGGCAGTAAATATGTGCTTATATATGGCATAAGGAAATAAATGAATCCCAATTCAACCGTGGAGTACGGAAGTAAGCTAGATTCCGTTGGTAGATACAGTACTTCGAGTACTTATGGTTACCCCGGTGACTCTGTGCCACCGTGCAGACTCACCCTCTTTTAGCTTGTCGTTGATCTCGGAGAAGGTCAGATCGTCGAAGGTGCGCACATCGAATCCGAACCTCTGGAGCGTCGCCTCCATGTCATCGCGATCCCGCTCCGTGCCCACCCGCTGCTTCTGCCCCTTGACGTCCTTGTGGTTCAGGATGAGCGCAACGCCCGCCCGGGGGCAGTTCTCGTATGTGTCCTCGTTGGTGGGGCGCGAGATTATGATCCTCTTGAGGTCCAGCTCCGAGGTGGGCGTCTTGGCCACCAGCGTGGCATCCGCCTTGTCCTTCTTGTGCTTGTTCTTCTGCCCGAACAGCGAGAAGTCGGTGTCGTCCATTTCTGACCGACCGCGCGCCTTGGCAACCTGTGACTAATTGCGATTAGAAGAATTCAGCTATCGAACGAAAAAAGCTCCCGCTGCCGCTGCCGCTGGTATTCGCCTACCATCTTATCTAATCAATGCAGCCGTCTTATCAGCTCCAGCTTGCTGTGGTGGATTCTTCACTCGCTCTCCGCGGTATTTTTCGGGCTCTTGCCCAACGTTGATTAGCCAGCTCGAGGGGATGTTACGTTTATTGGCAGCGAAATACAATTCCCTTTGCCATTGCACCAGACAATTTGATTTCCGCGACGGGTCACGCCCACAAAAGGGGGCGCTCGCCAGGGAAATTGGCAACATCCGGCGAAAGTGTCGCTTCTACTGGGGATTTCTTAATGTGTTTTCAATAAAACTCAGATGCGCAATAACTCAACTTTGCCACGCAATTCAAATTTTCACGCACACAAAGCAACGGAAACCGGAAATGAGTATGGCGTCCTGAAGTCTCAGCAGTCCCTTATAACATGTACCGCACTGTACCGTACTGAGAGAAAGTGCTGTGCGATTTAATGCCTTATATAAGAGATTATGCTCCATAATGATTTATAAGAGAGAGCTGGAAACATGTGGCACATAACAACAATTGCGGCTAATTAACAAAGCGGCTCCCACGACCCCTGATTCCTGATTGGATGCCAATTATAATTGATATGTAATTACAATTAGCGACATCCATATTTCTGTCGGCTGACTCTGAAGAGCTAAGAACGCAGTGGGCGGGGCGCAGGAAAGTTGTTTAGCCGGCTTTTCAGAACCAGAACAATCGCCTTTGATTCTCGAGGGGCCTTGGCCACCGAAAGCAGCTGCTGCCCCTCCAGTGACCTGAAATCTGCTCTTATCTCGCAGCTCCAGAGGTGCGGGGAAAGGGGGAGATTTATTGAGTCGGGATTCCGAGCTGCACTTGCTGAATACTGAATGAAATGATTTATCAGACGCACTTTTTTTGGAATAACAATGCAAAGTTTCACCTGAAATTTATGTACGCCCTGATTCGTATCTTTTTAAAGTGTAGGTTTCCGAGCATGTGGACACCGAACAGTTTTAAATTCCTCAATTATTTTAAATTTAATCTTTTAATAACGGAAAAGTTAAGGTACCTTGAATAACTTAAGTTACGGAATTATGGTATTTAAGTTAATTCGAATAAGAAACCAAGCATTTATTTCTTAAATATTTGCCTGTGGATATAGAATATAGAATATATAGCGATAAAAACCACAATTACATTGTTCTGGGAGCATTTCTGTGAGTGCAGTGTACTTCCTCCCACCGGTTGATCGTGTTTTTGTTGCTGCTTTCTCCGCCATTCGTGACAACAATTATTATGTGTGAACAATTCAGCAGTTATTGTTTTTTCAATGATTGACAAATTTCTTTCTCTAATTGCTTTAATCAATTGGTGCAATTCGATTTCCAATTAGTCATATAACATACCTAAAAACGGAACCTCAAAACTCTTACTTCCAGCCTGCTCTCTTAAGTTCGATTCGAACTCGAACCGGCGCGATTCGAACACGGACCTGCTCGAACGGGAACCCAAATTCAAAACCAAAACAGCGACGCCAAAAGCGTTGTATGTGTTGCCCAGTGCGGACGTGTTTGCGTGTCGGAGAAAAATTCGGGAAATCGGGAAAATTCGCATTTCAAAGGGTCGCGGGATCCTATCCTCCGGGCGTGTGTTTTTCCCCGCCCCTCTCTGTTGTCCTTTGCAGAAGCGGGATGAGCGGGATGAGATAAAGCGGAAGATAGAAAGCAGAAGGAGAATGTTTTGAGCAGCAACAACAACTTCAGTGTTGAATGTGTGCCAAGTGCAAGGAGTTGTAATTTATAGTTGCCGAAATTAAATTATGTTAAGTGCCCCAAATCAGTAAGAAGGTGCAGTGAAAAGGAAGCGGCACAAGCGGCGAACGTGGAAGAGGAGAACATAGCAAGTTATAACGGAGCAAAAAGTGCAAAAAAGTACGTAGGAGGTGAGCCAAACAAACTGTTTGCTTATAATAAGCGGGGTGCATTAAATCTCATTTAGAATGTGTGCGTGTGTGCGCTTTGTATGCAAAAAGGTTGACAAACAAAAAACAACAACAAATTAGGGTGGCTGGCCGCTGGCCCAGGGCACAAAAGAAAACAAAAACCTTCTTTTTTTCGGGGCTGCTTCCAACGGCAAACCACACACATGCACATAGTACATGTGTACATGTACAATGCGAAACGAAAACGAAATCAAATCAAAAGCAGAAAACCAACAGGCCGCCGAAAGGAAGCACAAAAACACAGAAAAAAATGCTCAGCTAGCTTTTAGGCGAATGCCCTCACAAAGCGCATAAAAAATAGATTAACAGGCTTGGCACAAACAAAAAGAACTAAAAAAACATTGAAATTCTGACGTCGTCGCAGGCTAAGCCTCTGCAGCCAAAAAATAAGAGCAGCATAAAAAACCATAACAACAAGTTGGGATGCCAAAAGTTGGGTTGCCGGGTACTTGGATTTCATTAGGCCCTTTGTCAAGAACACGGGGCATTTGGGTACTATAATATTCAATTAAATTTTTTAAGTGGGTTCCTATGCCTTAAAAACATTGAATACCTTTCAGGGTGTATACGAAATCAAACTTTACGTTGCATTTCTCTGTACCTGTGTACAATATTATCTTTAATTAATTAAGACTGGCTTTATTTCTCTCGAAAAATGTTGGATGTATTACTTGAATATTATTATTTGCATTATAATAGCATCGTAACATCATATTTGGGTACCATAATATTCAATTAAATTTTTTAAGTGGGTTCCTATGCCTTAAAAACATTGAATACCTTTCAGGGTGTATATGAAATCAAACTTTACGTTGCATTTCTCTGCACCTGTGTACAATATTATCTTTAATTAATTAAGACTGGCTTTATTTCTCTCGAAAAATGTTGGTTGTATTACTTAAATATTATTGTTTGCATATAGTCGTAACATCATATTTGGGTACCATAATCTTCAATTAAATTTTGTAAGTGGGTTCCTATGCCTTAAAAACATTGAATATCGTTCAGGGTGTAAACTTTTTTTTTGCATTTCTTTGCACCTGTGTACAATATTATCTTTAATTAATTAAGACTGGCTTTATTTCTCTCGAAAAATGTTGGATGTTCTACTTGAATATTATTATTTGCATAATAACAGCATCGTAACATCATATTTGGGTACCATAATATTCAATTAAATTTTTTAAGTGGGTTCCTATGCCTTAAAAACATTGAATACCTTTCAGGGTGTATACGAAATCAAACTTTACGTTGCATTTCTCTGCACCTGTGTACAATATTATCTTTAATTAATTAAGACTGGCTTTATTTTGCTCGAAAAATGTTGGATGTATTACTTAAATATTATTGTTTGCATATAGTCGTAACATCATTCCTTTTATTTTTTCGGGATCAATTAAATCCGAAGGTCTCAAATCATATATGTAGTTATTTTACAAGGAGTGGAGCGAGTTAAGACCTAAGAAAGATACAGAGTCTAATTGGATTAGCTTAAGTGTGTTAAAACGTGTTGTTTAATGGGACTCAACACCTTTGAAAGGTATTCCCCATAAACCGCGATGTACCCTTGCCCATTTCTAAGCCCTGAAATCCAAGGTATACCGACATCAAGTTGGCAACCAACCAGCTGGCAGGGTAAAAGGCCGCCGCGATTGATGCCACTTTTTTGCGCCCCTGCAAATGAAGTTGCAGTGGACATCTAATGAACCCGCAACTGAATGCGACGGAGGCCCTTAAATTGCTAGCACACCTGAAATATTCAAGATACTTTATGGGCATGGGCATGCCGCAGCTGGGCCAGAGGCACGCCAGTCATGCCGTCATGCCACAGGATGCTGGAGGTGCAAATTCTGTGCTAGCAACATTCATTTATGAGCGGGCTAAGGCTGCGCTTTTGGCTGCTATCCCTCGACCCCTTTCCATTCAGGGTATTCCCCTGGGGCACGTTTTGGCCATATTCCTCGGGGGCTTCTTGCCCGGTTTTATGAACTTCAGCTGAGCAATTATTAAATATTCAAGCTTTTGCAGCTTTAAGATAAGATTGGGTGGCGCTGGCACTTGACGGTTGACTTCTCCTCATTTTCGGGGCGCCCTTTGATGTTCTTACTTTCTATCTTCGGTTGGGGGAGGGTGGCAAAAAATGCGGGAGACAGGCAAACACAAACATTAATTGTAACTCTAGCTGTAAATGGTGTGAAATGAGTGTGAGTGAATGGCTGAATGACGGCATGAATGGATGCTTAGGAGCGGCTTGAACGAATGAATGAATGACTCTCGAGTGGAGCTGCCGGTGGCAGTGATGCTCTCGGCTCTTTCAGCGCTGAAAATTGCGTTAAGTGGATGTCATCGTTGGCCAGCGACAATTTTGATGAACTCAACAAAAACACTTGACAGCAGAGCCGAAGATTTTGGAACTGGGGAGCAGGCCGTGCAATAAACGAAATTATGACGCTAAATTGAACACTAAACGCCCAGTGAGCCGGGGCGAGAGATATACTCGTGTAGTAGAGTCAAAGAATAGTCCAGGAAAATATATCAGTATATCAGTAGTTGGGGGCGAGAAGGGGTTGGACTGGACTGGGTTGGGCTGGACTGGAATGGAATGGAAGCGAGATGGGGCATTTGCTTTCAAAAGCATCAGCGCAGCATCCACTCCGCTTCGAACGGTCCACATTTAACGCGCGAATGAACAGCAATCAGCCGAAATGGGGGTTTCAGCGTGAAAGGGGGCGGGTGAAGGGACTGGTGGGCATGGCTCTGGACCTGGACCGACCGGGAATCGGATGGGCACTCGGACTATTGCTGGCGTGCCAGCCGCCAGTCCGGAGGGTTCATTCAACAATAAAAGTCATGATAGACATGGCAATACGGAAATGCTATTTTTGGGGCTGCCGCTGCCGATGCCGATGCCGCCTTCACACGGGAATGGTCCACGTCCGCCCTGCGAGCGGAAGGTGAGAATTAAGAAATTAGCGTACACCCAGTATCCACTATCCAGTACCCTCTAACCATTACCCATTACCCATTACCCATTGCCCATTAGCCAGTCGGATGCCCCATCCATCCATCCATCCATCCATCGTGCGGCGAGTTGGAGCTGCCGGCTGGGAGCCGATGGAGCTGCTCGTAAATTGCCCGCCGCCGCTCACTTTAACTTAATTATATAATTTGTGAGACATCAGCGCTAAAAAAGGGAGACAGGCAGACCAAGCAAAAAGGAAACATGACAAAGTTCGTTAGATTCAAACACTGAAGTCGATATGCCCTTAAAAATATATATGTTTGTGGTTCGAAATTAAAAATATTGAATTTATTGGGTAGAAAGGGACTTTAAAATATAACTATACTGCTCAAAATGTGTTAGCGAATTGCGTGGTTTAAACACCCTTACTATTTTATTTAGAGAACTTCAGATAGATGTAATGCTTGCTACATGTTTTCTTTATTTAGTATGTCATAATTTTTCGTACTTCCATTCGACAGCAAATTCGCTTTTACCGGTTTGAAAAGTAGTCCAGGGTAACGATAAAGATCGTCTTCAGAAGATAAGATGCTCAAATCATTCTTTATGAATTAGTCAAACATTTAATGTGTCGAAATATAAAATACTAGCTGGAAAATCAGGTTTTGAAATGAGCACAATCTCAATGAAAGGAGAAAACTAATTTAGCCATTATTCTAATATTCCTGGCTTGAAACGCATAAAGAAAGGCCACAAAAACTCATTTGCAAAGTAAAGATACCTTTTGCTGGTGTGGAGGGTATACGAATAAGCGGGCTCTGCGGGTTTCTGCGGTGCACTGCAAATTAAATGAGCTGAATGCATTTAAGCCCAAATCAGCGCAAGCCGACGGCTTAGTGACGACGACAAACTGTGTCTTAAGTGAGTCAGCAGGCATCCGGGAGCAGTACGAAGCCCGCCGACTGATGGTAATGGGCGTTGCTGGAAAAAAGTAAATAATCCTTTAACCACAAAGCAATTATGCAACGGCAGCAACCACGTCGCCGGAAAGGCGACATCTTGTCAGCCAGTGAAAAATTACCAACCAATGACGGCGACGGCAGATGTATGCAGACGGAAAGAGGAGACGGATTTGGACGTGGACGTGGACGTGGATGAGGACGAGAACAGAGGGAAAAGGCGTGCGATCCGATGGGTGGCTGGTGGAAGCCCACAGGTTGCAGGCAACAAATTACTTAAATGCCAAGCCGAAAAGTCTGTGCAAAAGCTTATGTGGAAATTTAAATTGGCGAGGGACGCAGACGGGTGCAGACGGGCGAGGGCGGAAACTCCGTTGGCAACTCTTTCCCTTTGCGGTTACCTTGCACTTTTGGCCGCAACGAACTGGTGGCACAGACGAGGCTGGATGAGCTATGAGACAACATTTTACGGACCATCCAGTTCATTCAGTTCCCATTAAAATTTACAACATGTAGTGATGGTAGTTCTTACAGCAGGCACACCTTTAATTTACGCTTATTAATAATTGTAAAGTAATTTTTTAATAGTGGAAGACATACATATTTATAGCTCTGTTCGAGGTGGTGTTGCGTTTATTATACAAAACTGAATTTGTCCCTTTCAACACTTAATCTGTCAGATCAAAGCGGTCAGCTTAATTCCGGGATTGTCAATACTTTGGGTCTGGGGACTTATGGCCAGATTATCGCTGCCTGATGAGTAATGGCTATTTCGGATTTTAAACGATTCTTGAGAAATTTGTTTGAAAGAAAAGAATAATTGCCAGAGAAGGTAACTGTTTTCGATCTAAACAGAATGCTAGAACGCACAGCTTTGGGAATTTGAATCTATTTCAGTGTGCCCCAGAAGCCAGCTAGATTTATCGACCATTCATCTAACTATCTGACTATCACATCTCATTCACCTCTATGTACTCTCTGCCTCTATGCCATTTCCCACGATGTGGGGCCTTTTCCAG